TTTTTTATTAATATTATAATGACACTTTAAATCCATAGAGCGTCGCCCTTCTCACAATCTCAATAGATAATCATTAAGTTTAATTTATGACTTCTTCAACCTTAATCCAATCTATCAATTAAGTAAACTAGAGTGCCTAAAAATAAATTCACAGTTCCTTATATGGCCGTTTCCTTAGAGAGAACACAAAGTGCTCTAGGTGTGCTCAATAATATTTCAAAATAAATTTTTGGTAAGCTGCACAAAGTTCCATTAAAATTTCCATTTACATAACAAGCAGACAGTTCAGAGTGCTCCATTTAAAGAAATAAAAAGTAAATAATACACATATCGTTAGGATATGCGCGCACGAATAGCTGCAATTACGCAGGTGCTTTTTCAGGTGCTTTCGCAGGTGCTCTTGCAGGTGCTCTTGGGCGAGTGGGCGGCAAATGTAAATGTAATCCAAATGTTTATGCCAGTATCTATATACATATACATATATATATTTGTATATAGTTTCCATTGAGCATTTCACTTACATTTTCAGCTGAATAAGAATTGCAGATGTGCTTGAATGCAGCCAATCTGGGAGGAGGCAGCTGATTCGATGGCTGAGTGCACAGCTGCCTGGGTGAGTGCATTGTGCGGCGCACAGCTCGAACTTGTCAAAGTACTACAAGAGAAAGTTAGATGGATAGACAGCAAGACAGAGAGAGAGAGAGAGAGAGAGAGAGAGAGAGAGAGAGAGAGAGAGAGAAAGAACCAGACGATTTTCATTGAGAGAAGCGAACTCGCTGTTAAGCAAAACGGATGAGCAGTGCAATTAAAAGCAAACAAAACGCGTAATCGAATGCGATTCAAATGGCTATTGACAATCGACAATCGACAATCGACAATCGAGAAACGAGGAACGAGGAACGACAATTGCGTTGCAAATGCCGCAATGCTGTGGAGTCTGTCGTCGGGTCGGAGTCCTTTGTAGCCTTTTGGTGTCTGATTTTTGCTGTTTGCTTTGCTTTTGTTTTGCGATTTGTTGCTCGTCTGCTTTGTGCACGGCCTTCGCCCAGCCAAATAGGTTAAAGGCAAGTGAGGGAATTAACGGTAAATATAATTACAGCGCCTCGCTCACAGCTGCGGTGCGCACAGCTAATGGATACCCTGCCAATGGCCGTCTCCTGCTGGGCGGGACGCCGCGCCGTCTTAACGCTCGTCGTGTGTCCAATTAGTGCAAATTGCCACTCGTAATCATAGCTGTAAAATTAATATAAATTTTGTATATCATAATAGCTGCAACACGCACCCTTTGAATGTCACACCCACTACCCTCGCCCCTCGCCCCTCTCCATTACCCTTTGACTACGTGTGGCCAGCCGCAAATGTAAGTGCCTGGTGTTGAAATTAATTGGCCCTTGCTTTGCGAATTACGTGACAAATTAAAGTCGATTTGTTCAAGACTTGATTCGATTCGGGCAGAGCTCCGAAAGTACACTTCAAGTGGCCAAGCTGATGACAGCTCGACATTTTACGACCCATTTGTTGACAGCAACTTCATGCATTCATCTGTGAGCGAGTTTCTAAAAGACAAAGACTCCAAGTGACCTTAGCTGCTAATTAAATCTGTTACAAGCCACATTTAGTCCACAATCTCTGCGTAATACGCAAACAGTAAATAATCTACTTAATGTCGCCCTCGAATATCCACTTTGTTGCGCAGCAGGCAGCAGCAGCAGTGGAAAATGAAAGGCTGTAGCTACCAAAAAATAAAAGAAAAGAAAAAAAAAAAACAAAAACAAAAAATGGGAAAAGAGAAAAGGAACAAATTTGATGTAATTTATTTTAATTTGCGAGCGAGAATGTTCAGCAAAAAGGCTAAACAAATCTCGAGTCGAGCGTCAAGCAAATGGCCCAACAGAAATGCCAAAGCACGTTATTTCCTTGCCAACTCACTTAAAGCCAGCTCGAGTACTTTGGGCCAGCATTAAATGTAGCAATTCAAAGGAAACAGAAACTAAAAAATTCTTTTTAAATATTACATTTATGCTGCTAATTGGTATTTAAATGTAATTTCTGTTAATGCTTCAGGTACTTAAATATTGCATATTGCGCATATTGCATTTACACTGTAAAATAATCTTTATGTAATCGCTTTTTTAAGCCGCTTGTAAAAGGCAACGTGAGCACAAATCTACTGAACATGAGTTATTAAGCTTTCATTCATAATTAAATCGAATTCATTTCATCACTAGCTTGAAAACATTTAAAGCAGAACGCACAAAGCTTCAACAAGTTTTTAGGAAATTAATAAAAATCTTTTTCAGTACATTTAAATTAAGTTACAGCTGGCCTCTGCTTAGCATCTTGTATTACAGCCTCAGCTTAAAATCGAATTAAAGTATTTCGTATATGAGATTACCCAAATTCCTTTCAATCAAAATCAAATCAATTAGTTGATTGATTTGTGGCTTATGCTAGAAACAATTTGCCAAATGTTTCTACAAATGCCAACAAATGCAAAACAATTTGATTGCCCAAGTGTCTACGCCAGAGAATCAACTCAATTCACACACACACACACACATTATAGAAAATAAAAATCGATGTGTGTAGCTATTGCGTTTTTGGCAAGAGTTGTGCTAAAAAGCTGGAAAAACAT